TGTAACCCAGCTGGTCTCAAACTCGCAGTGACCCTGCCTCAGCCTCCCAAGAGCTGGGATCACAGGTGTGCACCAGCCACCGCGCCCAGCTGCACCAGTATTATCACGTCTCCCTTGCTCTTTCGTTTCTGTCCTGGGCTTTGAACCTAGGACCACACATTTCTTTCAATGGCTGTCCTCTGAACTAATATTCCAGCTAAGATTTATTTTAAAAAACTTTCTAAGGTTTCAGTTACAGTTTGTATTTTTTTCAGTGTGAGGTATACCGTCTGGAGCTTCGAGTCTTAGGGTATGAGAGTTCAAATATTTTTCACTTGCTTAATTGTTCAGAAATCGTTTTATAAGACTAGGCCAATAAAATGTCTTGGAAACAAGTAATTCGCCTGGATTAAAAAAAAAATTTATTTTCCTTCTAGAAACCCAAACACCCAACAACAGGAATTATTGCCATCACACTGGCATTTCATATATGTCACGAAGTTCACTTAGCTGGTTTTAAATACAACTTCTCTGACCTGACGAGTCCTTTGCACTACTACGGGAACGCCACCATGTCCTTGATGAATAAGGTAATTATGCACACCACTCAAGGCTGTATGCATATACGCTGGCGTGATCTTTAATCTTACTGGTCGGAATTTTCCTTTACCCTCGCATTTTATTTGGGGAAATTTCGGAGGGTTGAGGGCCTCACGGAAGTGTTACAGAGCTACCAAGGGCTGAAACTAGGACCCAAGCCGAAGGTCATTTTCCCGTAGCAGCAGCTCCGAGTCTGTGGAGCCCGGAGGCATGGGAAAGCTGTATGGTTATTGCCATGTCATCAGGCTCACTCAGCAAGCAAGTCTTACTGAGGACGTCACGTCTGCACCATGTCCATATAAAACACCTAAGCCTGCTGTTTTGAGATATGCAAAGTCATGAAACGCACTGCTGTTCTCATAATTACTCTCATGCATTTGGGGTTTTTTCATTACGTAGAGGTGCTGGCCAACCTTTAGCTTTCAGGGAGAACAGCTGGCTGTGGCAGGCGTGCCACAGGTCGCCTCCAGGGGTCGAGAACAGGGTAAGCCCGTAAGACAGTCTTTGTCTGAAAGGGTTACAAACCTTCTCACTGATCATGTTTCTCTGGAGTAGAGATCAGTGCTGGTAAATTTGACCCTGAGGATTTTAATTGAATAGGAAGGAGTTTCCCATGTTTCTGGTTATTAGATTACTGGTACACAGGTGATAGGGTTTAAATGTTATCTGCACATTTTTAATACTCAACTATAAATGATTTGCTGTAAAGTATATGACATTTCATGAAATCAGATCCTTTCATTCCAAAAGACTGCATAAGCTGAGAAAGGGGTATAATCTGGGTTGGATTTTAATACTGTCTTTTGTCCCTCCAACCTCCCTTCTTCTCCTCAGTATAAGAGAAACCCTTGAGTAGCTCAAGAGTTGGGTGCCTTAAAATGCTCATTTATTCTCAGCCCTTACTTTTCTTGTAGTACTTGTAGTATTTCAAGAGTCACATTAATGGATATCTGTTTAATATGTTTTCATTCTTTTATTTTTACAATTTCTTAAGTGACATAAAGAATGGGACATTAAAACAACTTCCCAAGAAAACAGGATATCTAACAATAGAGAATTACTATTTTTTATTTTTATGGTGCTGGGGATCTAAACTAAGACCTTGCACAACCCAGGCAAACATTTGACCACTGAGCTGTATCTCTGGCCCCCAAATTTTTAAAACACGTGTCTTAACCTGAACCATGCTTTATAGTAGTTTCTCATCCCCAGGGCAATTTATTTTTCTAAATTTTGAGTTCTAGGTGCTGCTTTTATGGACATTCCATTCTGACTTAAAATTTCGAGATCTCTAGATTTATACCACAATTCAAGGTTCCTGAAGAGAAGCCTTTTAAATGATAGTTTAAGAGGGAGTAGGCTTTAAGGGAAGTTTTTACACAAGAATAGGTAAAGACATTAGGAAGGTAACAGTATTCATTTGACTTAACTTTTGAGTTAAGTTAGTATAGAATTTTTTAAGGTACAGAATATTCTGTCGCTGTATTAGTATTTTGAGATTGGGATAGACAGATGGTAATCTATTTTTTTCTTCTCTAGAATGCGTATCACAATGTGACTGCGGAACAGCTCTTTTTAAAGGACATTATAGAAAAAAATTTCGTGATCAACTTGACAGAAGATTGACCCTACAAGCTCAGAAGATTATACTGACAGTATTTTATTTTTATACTGGAATTTTTAGTTTATTTTTAAATATGTTGGATGGACTTGTCAAATAATTATGTATATTAAATCTGTTGCTGCCTGGTGATTCATAACCACCAGTTTAATCTCTGTGAATATATTTATGAAAACCAAGAAATGTTTAATTATCAGGGAAAAAAGTTTTGATTACATTGTGTTCTTCAGATAAGTTTTTGAGGTCTTTTTTTTAAAAACATCTTACAGTTATTTCATCTTAGACTTTTCAAAGAATGTGATTTCCGAAGCAGAGAGAATTTACTGCAGTGTGACATTCGGAGAAGTTAATGTAAACAGGAGGTGTCCTGTGATTACACCTTGCTGTAGCAAAGTGTAACCCCTGGGCTGTGGAAGTCATACTACTTTAATTCAGTTTCTTCCTTCTGTAGTTAATTAACCATGAATGTGATTAGTAATAATTTGGTAGAAGGAAGACAGTGTTTTTTGCTTTTATTTTTTAAGTTAAAGGAAATAGGCAAAACATACAATTTTGAATGAGTAAATGACTAAATTCAATTATTAAAGTCTGGTCGCTTTGCATTACTTTAAAAACTTCAAAATTGTTTACAAATGGGTGTGGGCTAATGGTGGCAAAAATATACACCTGGATCAGGCTGTTGCTCCTAGGCCTGTTAAGCAGGGATTTTGAATTTAAAGTTGCAGCTCATGGAGTAGAGAGGTGTTTAGTTTACTTGGCGAGGAGGCTGAAGTATGAAAAGATGGCCCGCTGTGACCGAGTTAGGGACGCCTTCTCGTCCATGCTTACCGTTGATGAGGGGATCCAGAGGAAAGGGGAGTGGTGGAGTGGATGTCATGTTAAACCTAATCCACTGCACAGGGATGACCCAGAAAATGCACCCTTCACTAAGACCTTGAGAAACAGATTGGAGGGGAGCACCGGCATCCTCGAAGAGCCCTGTCACTGCTCCTCTCTGCATGCCAGACCTTACAGGGGGATCACACTCCCTTGGGAAATTTAAGGGCAGTGGGTTTGACTGGATGGCAGAGGGCAGGTCACAGGGGCAGCACTTAATCGCCGAAGACAGCAGAAGAACAACGATCAGAATGGTCTGACACAGGTAGACCTGCGGCCTTGGCTGATTAGCCAGTTTTCCCAAAAGTGTAACAGAGAGGAAGCCTACAACACTTTCACTAGATTTATGTAATTGAAAAAAAAATGTAAGGGCAAATGAACAGAAAACTACTTCACATCCATGGAAACGGAATCCACCACTCAACCAGTTCCCAGGTTAGGGCCAATTACAGATCCAGAACCCCTTGCATGCAGGGGATGCCAGGCCCCCCTTGGGAAGGGTTGTTGTGCATGGAAAACGTATATGGTCAATCTTTCTCCCATCCTTTGTAAGACAGATATACTTAGGACTTGGCAGAATTCTCACATGAGTTCCTTCACCTGTAATGTGAGAGCTGTTATGGTTGGAAGGGCCAAATAGAAGCCATTAGAGTTGCCTTTGCCTGGTAAAATAGTAAACCAAAAACAGTATCACATCCCTGGAAGGACTCCAGAGATGAGTGCCACTACCCAGGACGTGAAGGATGCAGGGGTGGTGGTCCGCACATCCCCATTTAATTCTCCCAATGGCCTGTGCAGAAGAGATCAGTGTTGGAAGATGGTAGATTACCATAAACTGAAGCAAGTGGTGACTCCAGTTGCAGCTGATGAACCTGATGTAGTATCCTTGCTTGACCAGTTTAACACATCTCCCGGTACTTGGTATGCAGCTATTGATTCGGCAAATGTGTCTTCCCCACGCCTATCCGTAAGGCCTATCAAAAACAAATTGCATTCAGCTGGGAATACACCTTCACTGTCCTGCCTCAGGGTTATGTTAATGCTCCAGCCCTGTGCCACAGCTCAGTTTGCAGGGATCGTAATCCTCCCTCTCACAGGCCTCTCACGGGCCCATTACACTGACAGTGTTACGCTGCTTGCACCAAGTGAACAGGAGGTAGCAACCACTACGGACTTGTTAGTAAAGCACTTCCGAGCCACGGGATGGGAAATAAATCCAACAGAAATTCACGGTCCTTCCACCTCAGTGAAACTGCTAGGAATCCAGTGGTGTGGGGTATGTAGAAATATCCCTTCTAAGGTAAAAGGTAAATTTTTGCATCGGGCTTCCCCTACGACCAGAAAAGAGGCACAGTGGTAGGTCTGTTTGGATTGTGGAGGTACTACATTCCTCACCAAGATATTTTACTCTGGCCTAATTACTGAGTGACTCAGCTGCTAGTTGTGAGTGTGGCCCAGAACAAGAAACGGCTCTGCAATAGGTCTGCCACTGGAGCCATATGATCCAGCAGAGCCAGTGGTACCTGAAGTGTCACCGGCAGGTAGGGGTGAATGGCAGGGAAGACCTTCAGAACTTGAGCAAGGTTCTGCTATCACCGGCAGACTGCCCTCGCTTTGAAAAAGTCCCTAGCCTGCTACTGGGCCTTAATGGGAACTGAACGGTTGACTATGGAACACCAGGTTCCCATGTGACCCGAGTTGCCTGTCCTGATCCGGGGTACTACGTGATCCACTGAGTCGTAAGGTTGGACGTGCAGAGCAAGTCTGTCACTGAATGGAAATGATGTATGTGATTTAGCCAGAGCAGGTCCAGAAGGTACAAGTTACATGAAGTTACCAGATGCCCATGGCTCCTACTCCTGCAGTACTGCCTTGTTCCCCGGCACGCACTGTGTTCTCGTGGGCTGTACCACACGATCAGCTGTCAGAGGAAACAACGAGGGCTTGGTGTACAGATAGTTCTGCATCTTACGCGGACACCGCCCACAAGTGGACAGCTGCAGCATTACAGCCCCTAAGACATCCCTGAAGGTCAGTGGTGAAGGGAAGCCTTCCTAGTGGGCAGCACTTTGGGCAGTGCGCTTGGTAGTACATTTTGTCTGGAAGGAGAAATGGCCAGATGCGTGACTGTACACTGATTCACGGGCTGTACTCTGTGGTCTGGCCACATGGTCAAGAACTTGGAAGCCATGTGACTGGAAAATTGGTGGCAGATTGGGGGAGGAGCTATGTGGACACACCTCTCCACATGGTGAATGCTGTAAAAACTTGTATCCCATGTACACACTCACCACAAAGTGACCTCAGCAGACGGGGACATCACAAGAAACGCAAATGCTGTGGGTCTGATGTCACCCCAAGGCCTCATGCAGTCAGCGGCTTTCAGAGATGGCTGCATGTGGCATGTGATGCTGGGACTGATTCAAGGTAAGAAGCACTACCTGCTGTAAGGACAGGTAGCCTGGATACAGTACAGGGCCAGAAAGGGGCTTTTCGCTCCCTTGCTTTTGCTGCCTTCTGCGCGACGTGAACGGTTCCTCCCCCAGTGTCCCTCTGCCATGCCACCCTGCCTTGGAGCCAGCCCACTACGAACTCAAGCCTACGAACTGTAGGTTGTAGCCAAATGACGCTTTCTTCCCTGAACTGCTGGCTGTTGGGTATTTCGTCTCAGCAAGGAGAGAAGTAACCAGAAGCTAACCTACATGAGCTCAAGAAGAAAATTCTTAAAACACTTTTCCCCTGGATTAATGTATTCATTAAACTGTGAATGTCTCAGTTTAAAGTAAAAATAGCAAAGTTAAAGATGACAAAATAAGTAAACCCTTAATCAAGGTGCTTCTGAACTTTGTATTTTCATGAAAAATCTGTTTTTCACACATTTTAATTGGGAAATGCTGGTGTTAACTGACAACCAATCACGTCCTTAGAAGTATACAGGGTGAAATTTCAGCACAGGATCAGAGCAGGGATAAAGGAAATACCTGAAGGCAGTACAAGGGGGAGAGAACCAGTAGGTGTTTTCACCCAGGGGAGGTACTAACGACATGGATGCCCCAATTCATCTGACCTTCTAACTACCCCGAGGTACAGAGGTAGATACCAGACTAGGATCTGCACTGCACAGTGAGACTTTTCCCACCCCCCGCCACTCATGGCCCGCAGCTTGGCTGCTGAAGTTGACAAGTAAATCAGACTCGAGCAACGACGGTGCTGACCAGGGCGGGGGGCGGGGG